CAGGAATGGGGGTGGAGGTGCAGCCAACCCCCCCCCCAGCATCCCAGCAGCCTGCATTTCCCCCCTACTCTCTTTCCTCGGGGCCCAGACCCCCAGCTTCCAGTTGGCTCAAGCCTCTCCTGAATTAGGAGCGTGGAAGGAGGCCACCAGGTTTGGGGGCGGGGGGATGCACAGGGAGCTCTGTCCTGCGCGCAACACGCCTCCAGTTGTCCCCAAAGGATGAGTCACTGGGGAAAGGACAAGAGGCGCCCGGGCCCAAGACGTGGCTTGCAGGCGCCTAGGGTGCCAGGGCTGCAGGTCCTCCCGCGGCCTCACCCTCTCCAGCCTCAGATCCCATGGAGACAGGGAGCGCGAGGGCCCCCAGGGGACTCAGCTCCCCAGTGCCCACCTGGGGATCGCCTCCAACGCTCGTGCGCCCCAGAGAGCCTCCCATGGCTCGGTAGGGAGGCGAAGGCTCGCTGAGCTTACCAAAGGCCTAGGAGAGGCTGAAGGTAAAGCTGGGACCCACGGGAGAACCAGGGAACCAGGACCGCGCGGGGACGGGGTGCGGAGACTTCGGCCTCAAGGAATCGCGGCGGCCGGACCCGCGCCCCCTGGCGTCGGCGCTGGAGCTCGCGCAACGCCGCCCGGCCACCCCCTTCCCCTGGGGCTCCAGACCTGAGGCTGGGAGGCCAAGGCCGCGCCGCCCCCGCCCCTAGACCCGGCCGGACTGCGCCAAGGCCCTTGCGGGACTCGGGGGCCCCTTGCGTCCCGCCTGCGGGCCGGGGGTCCTCCCTGGGACCTTCCTGACCTCGCCAATGTACCCGGCCCGGGAGCGCGCGGCGCCCCGCGCTGTCCAACAGCGCCCTCTGGCGGGGGCTCCGGGGATGTGCAGGCGCACGGGGCTTAGGCTGCTGTGGGCGGGGCGCGAAAGACCCGCGACCCACGGGGCGTGGGTCTGATAGTTTGGGGTCTGCATAGAAGGGACGGAGATGCAGTAGCCCCACGAGGGCTGGGCGCCCCTTCCTTCTCCTGGCTCTTCTCTGTCTCGCCCTGCACCCTGCGCGCCCACTCGTGGGCGAGGCCCTCCCACCAAGTTAGGAGAAACGGGCACTCGCGGCGAGGGAGGCAGCCGGACTCAAGGGCTGCGCCCCGCCTCCCTTTTGGGGCGCCTGCCATCCTGCCCTCCTTTGGGGGGGACCCGTGCAGACCGAGGTGGGTGGAGCAGGCGCAGGGCCTTTCCCCCCAGGGATCCTCCCGCGATTCTAACTCCAGGGGCAGGGCACCTGCCCGGCCTGAAGTCGCCCTGTGAGCGGGGCAGGCATCTCGACGGGCACTGCCTGGCACTGGGCTGTCCTCTCAATGGGTATGGAGCAGGCCAACGACAGCATCGCCAGGAAGTGACGTTCGGTCAGGCCAAGGGTCCTTCCCTTCTTTGTGCCATAGACGCCTTCTTAGAATAATGTCTTTAAATGCGGAAAACACACAGGGTCACGCAGGAAAGCAAAGGTACAATGAAATATTAGAAAGAATAGGTGACAGGCGTTTTTTTGTTTGTTTTTGGGGGGTTTTTTTTGTTAACTCATTAAATAAAAGACCTAGCGGTGACCTACTTAACATTGTTATTTTGAAGTACAATTAGTGTAAAGAACACATTGAAACAGCTGCCGCCCGGCCGGCGTGGCTCAGCGGTTGATCCGTGGCCTATAAACCAGGAGGTCACGCGGGTTCGATTCCCGGTCAGGGCAGATGCCCGGGGTTGTGGGCTCGGTCCCCAGCAGGGGGCGCGCAGGAGGCAGCCGATCCGTGCCTCTCATCACCGATGTTATGAAAAGACCCACGATTGCTGCTGATACCACGGAGGCTGGTCGCCTAACCTCATAATTGAAGGAAATGCTGAATTTTAGGAGGAGACAAACAATGAGACAATGTTTTCCCCACTCGGGGACTCCCTGGTTTCACGCCGAGAGCCTCTCCTCTCCCTATTTTGTAAAAAAAAAAAAAAGCCAACAG